TTCAAATAGCCGAGTAGGCAAAAACATCACAGCTGCGTACTGTTTGCTGCCGCTCCGGTCTCTTACTCCCATTGCTGTCTACAGCCACTCTTTAGTAAACGCGAAAAAAACCGCTTAGCTCCAAATGGATGAAGGCAACGACCGAAGCATTTCGTGGCAAAAATAGAACCATTGAAGAAGTGAAAAAAATCGTGACTTCTCTTAAAGTGTGAGCAAAAAAATGGAAAACATTCTGACAAGGACTGATTGCCGTGTCAAAACCCTCGCGAGACGAGGCGCAGACTCTAGTTCACGAAACTCTTTGAGCCACACCAACAATAAATCCGAGGGCCCACGAAACTTATCGAGGGTGTGAGCAGCGCTTTGACCTTCGCGATGAAAAACCGATCTCGCGAAAATCGTGTCCCGCCGCGCTGGAAGGAGGACCGGCTTCGTTGCAAAATTGCACGGGCAAAAATGCCCACACGTCGTGCCGATGCTGTGATGTGACAATCTCGATTCCATGGTTGCCAACTTGCCCAACTGCTCCCTTGAATTATGGATGGCATAAGCGGGTCGAGCCGTGCGGCCTGGCAACCTCAACGAGACCTGACTGACAAGCTGCATCGGCAAAAGAACACATCTGCCGTGTTACGGAAGAAAGTCGCGAGTACCTCTCTGTATGAGCCACGGTTAGCATACGTTCTTATGCGTCTTGAGGCTCATCCGAGAATACACTTATGGCCTTTTTCCGTATATCAACTCTGAAGACTCAAGCACGTCGCACCCAGAGCCAGACTAGCTCGGTTTATGACACATTCTATTGTAACCGAGCGGGCACTTTGATTTAGCGCATCTTGGTTACCTCATCGCCATGTTACCACCTGTTGCCGTTTCGTGCGCTCAAATACGAACGTTCATACTCGCTCCCGAGGGAAAATATACGCGTGGCAACCGAGACACCAGCTTACGAAACTGCATCACGGTTTGAGACAAACTCTGAACTGGTAAATCAGTCGACAACTAGGAATTTACAAACCGGAATTTCATCACTTACCGATATGGCTTTTTTCAGCGCCTGGGACCCCCTCGCCCCTTGCCCGGTTCAATTGCACCATTAAAACTGACGGCTGATGTTCATCGGCTAGACGTGGGGTTACTTGTCTCGTCAGCTGAAAGCTGCCATAGCAAGTGGTAAAACTTATGATTTCCGGTTGAAATGCATAGAAACTAAGTTGCGGAACGGAGAGGAAATTGAGAACGCTTCCGTTCCCGGGAATGTTCTTTAGAAATTCCCAGTAAAAATTTACTTTCTTCCCAAGTGAGGTCTCAGCGCTGATTCTTGATGATCAACAGAAAGTTTAAACACTGTGGTCTGCTGACCAAACTGCATTCAAAATGAACGCAGATGACGCCTTATAAGACGGATTAATGATGAGCTACTTTGTGATGGCACACCAGGGCTGGCCACTATCACCACGTGCTTCTTTGCGCATTGCAGACTCGAGAGGGCATAGTTCTAAAGCTGTTGATGTTGATTGGGGTATTATTTCAACCACGAGACTCCTCAGAATGGATCTGTTGCATGCAGGGACAAAATGTTCCGGTAAAATCGCATCACAGGTTCCCTAACTACTGGGATCAACATTCTTTTTCCTTTGGTGATAATTGACGAAAATCGTGAAGAGCAAGTTTTGCAATTTGGAAGACGTAAACTTAGGGAATGCTCGAAGAAGTTGCTAACCAATCATTGATTTGCGAAAATGAGTGTTGATCGCCGAAATTAACGTTTACCTCATCCATCTGAATTTCTTAAGCAGCCAATGTAGAGGCTTCTAATTTTTTTAATCTTTAATTTTTCTATCTTCTATCGAACTTACTCTGTCGTTTTCTTTATTTTTTGACCGTAATCTTCTGCTTTATTTCTTTTTAATTGTAAAAAAATTCGATACTTTGTACCCTTATGTGACAAATAAATAGTAAAACAAAAAACTACTGACCGCGTATAAAGCAGAGTCGTTCTTTTAACCAATCGATTTATTAACAGGTCACTGTGGATGACGTAATTCGCGTGATTCATGCGTACAATGATTTCTACCCCTTTGGTACCATGTGGTCTGTAGTGCGCTCAAAGCAGCAAGGTGACAGTAGCCACCAAAGGTGTACTTTCAAAACGTACCCCATAATTAGACTGCATTTTGCAATTTGGAGCTATAAATTCTGGCTCATCTGAAGAATCACTTATGTGCATGGGGAAACTAATGGCACATACGTTGTTTTTAAACCGCAGAATTTATAGTTCCAAATTTCAAAATGCAGTCCAATGAAACCGTGCTTTTCATTAGGTGTCGTCTGCGTTAACATTCGATGCGGTTTGATCAATGGACCAGTGTTGCCACTTTCTGTTAATCGCAAAGCATCTAAACGCAGATTAAGAAACAAACGGTCACCGCCCTGTGTCAGCGATCATTCTCTGAAATCTTGTGTCACCCCCATTAAAGCGCCAGTAATAAATTAACAGCAACGTCGCGACTTGCTGATGATCTTAATTTCTTGACCTTTGATGGTATCATTTGACGCGTCCCTACCTACTTTGCATAACAGCATTAACCGTCTTGCAAGCATTGAAAGGTTGACTGCAAGTCTCTCAGCACTTAACTCTAACCGCTGGAATACCTTAATGGTATTCCATTATACATATAGGTTATGTCTGTTGAAAAAAAGCTCATCGTCAATAAATTAGTGGTACTCAACTCTGGGAATGGACTGCAAGTATACTAAAACATGGAAGAATGTATTTGTCAACATGTGCGTGGCTTAGCTAGAGGTTATTAATGAAGAAAGGTGGACTCTTGGGTCAAAAATGTCCAATGGGTGGGGAAGGGTGGGAGAGGGGGGGGGGTTGCAAATGTGAAAAATTGATGAACATCACGAAAATGAGGTTTCTTCGGTGGAAATTTTTCAGTCATTGAGGGGAGGAGGAGGGGCTTTACACCCCTCTTGCTACGCCACTGCATATCGACGGTGAAACTACCAGACCACGTATCTCGTTTGCGGTGTTTAAAAATCTCCACTCACATTTCATTTTTTTGAAGGTGGTCAAATCAATATCATTCCTTACAATTTTCACAGATTTTTCTCCGCACCAAGAGGAAAAATCACGGTAGTTTTCGCGAATTGACATTGAGTAGTTTTCTATTTAAAAAATAAAGCATGACAGGAAGTCTTCGACGTCGCAAACCGAGATACGTGGTTTGGTAGTTTCTCCGTCGATATGCAGATGGGTTTGATACCACATGTTTCCCTATCTGCGACGTAAATTGTGCATTTTTAGAGAAATATGCAAAGCTGAGTTTGAAATTTATATTGGCTCGTCACTTTCAGATATAATCGTATGTGCTGATATCCGTGTTTTAACTTTTCGAATTCAATTTCAGGTAAACGAATGAGTGTGGTGTATTCACTGCAGTTTTAGTTTCTCCATATTGGAAAACTTAGAATATAGTAATTTCTCATGCACGAACGAAAAAACGGAAAGTGGTCCTTTGTAGATGATTCATTATCAAATAGCAAAATTTGTGGATCATCGATTGTATTTTTAGTGTATTGTGCCGGTAGGTCTCAGTGTTCTATTGACAGTATTCTTAAAAATCTACTTTTCATACAGTATGAAGTTTTTGCACTGCAATATTTATTGTACGAAATAACCTTGAAAAGAATAGGTTTTTTGATAATTTTCGTATGGAAGGACAGGTTTACGCAGATATGCACAAGCACTGAAAGGTTTGAAAAATGAGACAATCTAAATACCGCCAAGAGAGAAATATTTCTGGCACACTCTTTTTCGGTCACAATCATGCTAAAGTGAAATCACTTTTTTTGCAAGAATTCGGAATTTCGAAATTATTTATAATTATTTACCATACTCTCACGCAATTTGAGTTTATCGAGATTGTGGTAAATTTTACTTAAATTCATTTCATAATAATAATATAAGGATAAATCTGGTATTTAATATTAATTTTCTGGAGATGTATAAGAAAATTTCAACAATTGATAAAGCTCAAAAAAGCTCTTAATTCGAAAAAAATATCGCATTACACATAGCCTCGCATATTTAATTAATTTATTTCGAGATTGTCTGAGAGTTTACTAAAAGTAAAGTACATAATAAAATTTCGCAATCTGAAGTTCTAAAGTTATAGCATTGAAAAGTTCTTATTCCTTAAAAGTTTGGTTTAAATGAATAACTTATTGCTTAGGACATAATTAGTGACCATGTCTCGAGGTTTACTGGTATGGAGCGGTCAGTGAAACAAGATCCTGAATTACTGATCTTTTTCTAAAGGACAGCTAATTTAATTAGATATTGTGTTAAGCACACACACAAAAGATCGCATAACCATAGCTGCTAAATTAACAGATGTATGGTGGTTTTCCGAACAAAAAGACCAGATTTCAGCTAACAACATTGAAACTTCAAACGCGTTTGGTTGTAAACATCATTATCTTTCTAACGATTTGCCTCCACCCACTATCTCGGGTACTTTTTATAGTCAAATCAAACTCAATATATGCTTCAAAAAGCTCATCACAGCTTTCGCCGCGTCTCATATATGTTGCGTAACAGGTGGTTGTATTTTTTCGGTATGATTCAAGAGACAATGAAATTAAAACGTGTGGTTTGAAGAGGATTTCCCCACAGTTCATGACAATTTTGCTAAAGGTATAGTTGCCGCTAGGCTGAAGGCGCAAACCGTAGACAATTTAATATCATAATCAAAAGTTATTTTTTTTTCGGAGAAAATTTGTATTTATTATTTTTTCGTAACACCCTCATAAGTTTTATATTTGCTCGCATTTCAATTAGAATTAATAGGCTGGGGTGGCGGCATATCTTCGAGGTGGGGAGCTAAGGGCTAGGGGGACCGAGTCCCGACGGACGCGTTAAAATGGCAGGGGGCTCGGGGGGAGGCCCGAAATGCGCGGCAGAACAGAGAAAGTGACGTGATGGAACTTACCGACTCCCAAAACAAACAGAAGGCACAACAACAAGTCAAGTTTGGCGCGCATCGTAAGATAGTCGGGGACTAACTGTGAACCAGTTGGCCGGTCGGTGAGGAGGCCGCGGCGCGAGGCTGCGCAGAGCTACGGCGCATGCGTCGGACTTTCACTAGCCCCGGCGCAACGACCAGACTGAGTCGGCGCAGAACCCACCAGAGCCAGATGCAAGAGGCTGCCATCCGCGACGTTGCTCGCCGCTCGCCGTGGACCCGTTTTGCGGGCGGTTACAAGCGGCGTTTTCGCACGGTTCGGCAGCGCGGCGACAGATTTTACGCGGTTGCCATGAGGATTTGCGATCATCCAGATGATTTTTCGATTCCACAACCGAAAGGAGAGTTAAAATGCTGATGAACATTACAATGGAAATTGTGCGCATACAAATTTTATTGCTTCAATCGGGAAAAAATGGATTGCTAATTTAAAAATTAAAGTTTTAAAAAATATGTTCGACATGTTTCAAATGCACATCTTACCATAAACGGAAGCTTATTTAACCACGAGTGTAGTAAAATAAGCATTTTTGTATTGTAAAATCTACATTGAAACACGTCGGACACTTTTTTTAGCTACAAAATTCTTAAGTCAGCAATATAATTTTTTTCGTGCATCTGAGAGTGCTTAGTGAGTTTAGTTTGCAGTATTTTGTCGGTGAAACCTACTTTTCTGCCGTGCGTTAAAATCTCTGAAGTGATTCCTGCGTTTTGCTATCTTGGCAATCCCTAATTTAGTAAACCGTCCTTTGTGTGATCAAATTTTTAAATAAGAATGTCTCAAATCGTCAAGCGACTCGTGTTTGTTGGCGCGCTTACTTTTTCACCCTGCGTTAAAGTCTCTGAGGTGATGCCTGCATTTTGCCGTCTAGGCAACCCATCGTGTAGTAAATCGTCCCTCGTGTGATCAAATTTTTAAATACTATTATCTTCAGGTGTCAAGCAATTCGTGCTTGTCGGCTCGCCTACTTTTTTGCCTTGTGTTAAAGTCTCTGAAAAGATTCCTGCATTTATGTTTAAATTTGAAAAAAACCGTGGGTATCAATTAACGCTTTGAGTTTACTGAACTCAACGGTGAAATTAGTTGAATTTTAGTATTATTAGTTCTCAAAAAATTAAAAAAAAACCATCCTAGACGACCCTCGTATATATTCAAGAAATTACGCTTGTTTTAAAGTATCGATTCCAATATCTATACATATTGGAATCGATACTTTCGGGTGTAATCCTCCATCTATTTAGCAACAACTATATGTGCGTGGCAAGGTTCCTGCAAAAAAATGATTTTTAAAAACTTATTCGGGGGAATTGTGCTGATCACGTTAATACACGCAAACATGTGTGTTCGTGGACAAAGTTTCAGATCTTTAGCAGCAAGCCATTCTGCCTTTCGTGCCACCCGATAGGCGATTTGCAATGAGTGTGACTGATTGCACTTGAACATGTGGCTACATTGAAGTATAAGAGAGAGCATGCGGAAAATGTTTCGAGGATGATTGTACTAAACTTTGTCATGTAAAACCTTGCTAAAATGTGTGCATTTAGACAAATTTTCAGACTTTTAGTCGCACGTGTTCATAATTTCCGAGACCTGTCTAATCGCCAGAAAACGCGATTTGAGCACAAGTTGACAATCGAATTTTGGAACCTGAAGAAATCAACATTATTCATTGGAATTTTTCATGGGCTTGAAAAACATCCTAAAAAATGCGTTACAACAGTTTTTCTTTTTTAGGGCGTGAATGCGGTTGAAAAAAATCGACATTTTCCGAAAGCTTAGAATTTTCAGCAAATTGAGTTCATGGATATTCTAATCACTTTCGGAGCCTCCAAAAGAGCTTTACCAGAGCTAAATTTTAGGGAAAAGCCTCATTGTGTACGTGCTGAATTAGAGTATTTTCATTTTTCGTTGCTCGAATATCCCTTTCATGGACGATTTTAGGGCCAAATCGATGGAAAAGTGGTGAAATTAGCTGATAGAGAGGAAAATAGAAATGCTGAATTCGGGACCTCAGAAAATTAAAAACCTTTAAAATTATAAAAGGCTTTAAAATAGAATAATCTGTGTAATTTTAATTTAATGCTTTCGATGCCAACGCACGCAGGACGATAATCGTTTTTCTATAATTACTTATTTACTCAGCGGTAGTGTAGTTTTCTCAAAACTGATAGTTAAAATTTTGGTGAGCGTGTTCTTCATCTCAACGATGCTCACTTTTTTCCTGGAACTTAAAAACGCGCCTACAAAGAAAACAGCTGAGTGCTTTTCTGCCGTGCTAAGGAAAAAAGCCGTGTGAACAGTCGAGAGTTGCCAAATTTCCTCCGATAAATTTATATTTTTGAGAAAAGTTATCAATATTTTTCCTGAAATTTTTAGAATATTCAGATCAAATTATGAACGAAATTCCCTGAAAAATCGAAAGAAAAATGTTTTTAAATATTCCCGAAAATTCGTGATTTATCAAAGGAAATTCGACAACGCCTGAAGGCTCATACGGCGTTTTTTCTCAGCAGGACAGTTCTCTAATACAAACATATTAGAGCTTTCCCTTTTTCTTTAATGTAGTACAAGGAAATGAAGCTTTTCGATCGAGTCTTGTAATATAAATCACGTGCGCGTAACGATCTAATCATGATGAGTGTTACATACATTGGCAGCGAGTTCTCTAACGCTGTTGGAGTAACGCAGTAGATCATTCTGCCCCGAGGAGGCTTGAACTAGAGTAAATGAGAGAAGACTGGATCACCTGGTCCATGTCGATGTCGTGCACCGGAGCAGAGCAGACACGTACCAGCCGCCTGTCCCCTGCGCTGTCGTCACTTGGGCGTTGTCGGAAATTCGACCGAACTGAAAAAGCAAGGTCTCCGTTCTGAATCATAACTGTACCGGGATGTGTTTAATGGAAAACACCTCGCGAAAATGTCCACGCGGAATGAAGAGCCAAACCACATCTCTTCAAACTATTCGGAAAATCGAGGGTTCAAGGCTGGATCTAGGATTAATGGGCCCCTGAAACGGCCTCATGAATGGATAAAACGAGGTTCGATAAAATAACATATAAGGTAGCATCAACTTCAATGAGATGTTTAACATAAATTCAAGCCTGGTTAATCGTTTAATGAATTCTTGATAATTTATGATGGGTTTTAAATTTTCCTTAGAGTGAACAACACAGCAGAATTGCATACGTCATCACAGCACACCGGCCCTTTGTCGGTCGCGGCACATTGTTTGCTCTTCGAAAAACAAAGAGCAGATGAGGAATAACACTCCTTGAAACCTGCCAAAACAGTAGTAGCGCGCGAATTAACTCACGTATACTGTTATTTCTCAAGTCAGCAGAAAACTCATATCTTTTTAAAATCAGTGATAAATACAAACGGTAATATCTCGATTGAGAGTCAATCACGTGATTTTTTGTCACGAGAAATCTGAAAGAGGAGATAGCATATATTAGAATGCTTAAACTTGTACCTTGTCTAGGGGTCCATTGGCCCTATCCAAGTACATACAGTGAGATACTTGTGTGTTTTTTGAATAGATAAATAAACGTGCTCTCTTGTGCGTGTGTTGCTTATTCGGCGAAATTGAAGGCGAACCACAAGTTGACAATATTTGCCAACAGTTTCCGCTTTATCTATTGGCTCAATCAAAATGTATGGTGCGAGATGTTTGTGGGCTTTTTGATCAGATACTTGGATTGCATTTTGCAAAAAAGAATCAAGAGCATTCCAATGTTGCTAGGATTGTGCAACTTACATTCTTTGCAATAAATCACTGAAATCGTGCCAAAAATTAAATTTACAAAGGTAATTTTTGTTATGAATTTATAGTTTATTGAGAGTGAAGACACAACTTTTTTTCATGATCAGTTTATATTTACAAGGTAAACAAAGTTGCACAATCTTAGCGACATTGGAATGCTCTTGGATCCTTTTCGCAAAATGCAATCCACTTATTCCAACTCGATAGTGTGTTTGTTGCCTACACAGTGAAATTGAAGGCGAACCTGAAGTGCGTTACATCTGCCAATCGGTTAAGGAAATCATCATTGGTCGACAAATAGCTTCGACCTGTGAACTTAACCTTTGTCTCACTAGATTACATTGCTTAAACGGTTCGTGAAATATAATGTCATACTGTTGTCAAAAGCGTTCTCTAGTGCAAAATCTGGGCGACATCCAATTAACTGGGTGTTTTGAATTGCTACGCTTCAGTTGCATCCATCGTCCATTCCCGAGGCTAATTGCAATCGCGCAAAGCTCACTTCGATCAGAAAAGAAAACGCTGACATATCAGCATATTTTCCGATGATTTCCTTAAATGGACCGCGATAAAAAAAAGGAACCAAGCCGCATTAGCTATTACTAAATTCAATTGGGCAATTTAATTTTTTACTAGAGAACGTTTTGACAGATGCCCCTAAAACTTTTCAGGAATTTGCTTTGTACTATGCAGAAGACTCACTGAAATTTGCACAAAAATCTGCACAACCGTTTTTATGTAAGAAATTAAGCTGCCCAATTAAATTTGGCAGTAGGTGATCTAGCTTGGTTCCTTCCTGCTTAACGCGGTCCAATTTACACGACAAGATTTATATTCTGCCGTGCTAAGGAAGAACGCCGTATGAACATTCGAGAGTTGCCAAATTTCCTCCGATAAAATGTTTATTCTTGCGGAATATTATGAATATTTTTCCTTGAAATTTTCAGGAATTTCAGGTGAGATTGCGCACACAATTTTCTGGAAAATTGGAAGAAAAACTTACACAAGTGTACCAGGAAATTGGTGTTTTATCAAAGGAAATTTGGCAACGCCTGAAGGTTCTCACGTCGTTTTTCCTTAGCAAGGCAGTATTGTTAGCAACGTCGATGGGATGCAAAGCTCTGGCGATGCGGTTGTGAATGCGCAGAGCACGGAGCCCGCAGCGGGATCACAAGAGTTGCTAGGTGTTCATTGTCCTTCCTGCGTGGCAGTGATTGGAGCCGGGCAGAATTCTAATGGCGTCGGTAATGAACTTGGGACTATCGACGGAAGCGACCATCGTCGAATTTCAGATGGTCGATGACACCCCGGGCCCGGGTCCGTTGTTCGCCGTCGTGCGTTGCGCCTAACGGAATA